CTCTGGGAAATCCATTCCAGTGCCTCAGCACCCTCACAGAGAGGAATTCCTTCCCAATATCCCATCTATCCCTGCCCTCTGGCAGTGGGAAGCCATTCCCTGTGTCCTGTCCCTCCATCCCTTGTCCCAAGTCTCTCTGCAGCTCTCCTGGAGCCCTTTAGGCACTGGAAGGGGCTCTAAGGTCTCCCTGGAGCCTTTTCCTCTCCAACCTGCCCTTGAGCACTTCCAAGGATGGACCAGCCACAGCTTATCTGTGCCTCACACCTTCACAGCTAAGATTTTTCACTCCTTCCACCATCCTCTACATTTGAAATCTCAATATAACTCACATTTTTTCTTTCTTTTTGTTCATATTTGCTCTAAATATCCCATGGGTGCAACTTTTCTGCCTGTCATACAGAGTTTGTCTTGCTTCAGAGGGGTGTGCTAATCCTTCTGCCTTGGAAGAATCTTGTTTGCATCAGGATTCCTGATGCTGGAGGGTTGATGCTTCCTTAAGAGCAGCACTGAGCACCCTGAGTATGAGCTGCTGGGACAGTTGGGTATTGGCAGGTTAATAGTGAGATCTCATGCCACTGACAGCTCTCAGCTCTTCTCTGGGTGCTTATCTGCCTTCTGAACACGGTTTGGGAGTGATAAGGGCTCAGCTTATTAAAGGCTGAGCCCACGTTCTGGCAGCACTGAGGCTCTGGCTTTGAATTTCCTGCTTTTTGTTCGTTTGGGAAAAGGCCAAATTAATCTTTGGTATAAACATACTGAGTCCAGTGAGTTCACAGGGAGGAGTGGGACTTAGGTCATGCACATGTGGGGCAGAGCCCAGGCAGGGAGGGAGAAAGTTGCACAGGAATAGGGAAGAACTTGTCTCTTTTTCTTTGGCATCTTTTGCTTTCAAGGAAGAGAGATAATCTTGGAGAAAGAATCATAGAATCATGGGACAGCTTGGGTTGGAAAGGACCTTAAAGCTCATCTCATCCCACCCCTTGCAATGGGCAGGGACACCTTCCACTAGCCCAGGTTGCTCCAAGCCCCTGGAACACTCCCAGGGATGGAGCAGCCACAGCTTTTCTGGACAACCTGTGCCAGTATCTCAGCACCCTCACAGGGAAGAATTTCTCCCTAATATCTAATCTAACCCTACCCTCCTGCAGCTTGAAGCCATTGCCACTTGTCCTGTCACTCCATGCTCCTGTTAAAAGTCTCTCTCCAGCAATCCTGGAGCCCCTTTGGGCACTGGAAGGTGTTCTGAGCTCTCCCTGGAGCTTCTTTTCTCCCACCTGGCCTGGAACACTCCCAGGGATGGAGCAGCCACAGCTGCTCTGGGAAATCCATTCCAGTGCCTCAGCACCCTCAGACCCAACAATTCCTTCCCAATTATCCAATCTAAACCTACTCCCTGTCAGTTTAAAGCCATTGGAATGTTGTTTTGCCTTGGCAGTGGGTTGTGGTGAGTGCAGTGGGACTTTGGCTCTCAGCTCTGCGAACACAAATAAAACATGAAAATTTGGCAACTCTTATTTCATATTGACTGAATAGTTTATGATATGATACCACTCCTCCTGTTTTTTTCAGGGGGCACTTTTAAGAGGGCTCAGATCTAGAAGAAGCAGAGTGAATTTGTGCTTCTGGGGGTTGTATTGGTTTATTGTGTGATCTCAGGCAGCTTATGTTACATTCCTAATCCCAGGGGATGGAGTAATTCATACGGATCTTCAAATTTAGGTCATGTGCTCTGTGCTGTTGCATAGTTTGAGCAGTGTTTTAATGGCAGGGAGGGAAGGGAGAGGGGAAGGAAGACCCTGATATCAGGGAGAAAATGAATCCATCACTCCTAGTGTGTTTAGAGGACACTGATGTTCAGGTGAGTGGATGGATTGGGAAGAGGCAGTGGCTGGAGCAAGCTGTGTGCTGTGTTTTTGGGACACTCAGCTGGAAAGAGGCACAAAAAATTCCTTCTTCCCTCTGCTCCTCCTTCTATGTGTGGAAATTCTCTGTAATAATTAATGACATCGCTGTGTAGTTGGAGCCATGGAGAGATAATATTTCTCAGGATTTTACTTTATGGGCTGTTCATTCCAACAAGTAAAATGCACATTTGTCTCATGTGTGATATTAATTTTTTTCCCTGATTTGCCTTGTCCAAGCTTCAGATAAGGGAAAGAAACTACTCCATCCCTGGGAGTGTTCCAGGCCAGGTTGGACAGGGCTTTGGAGCAACCTGTGTCATCAAGTTTAGGGGTTTTGGGCTTTGAAAAAATTGAGATTTCTTTTTAAAGTAGTCACAGATCTTACATTGATTAACCTAATAACTGATGATAACAAGAGTGTGAAAAAGTACTGAAAGATTTCAGACCTTTTTTCCCCTGTAATTCTGGTGTTGGGTACAATGGTTATGCTGCTTCTTTTTTGCAAAACTGACTGAATTATCTGCAGTGGCTCATCTGCCATGGATCCTAATAAAATATTTGCAGTTGATGTGTTTATGTGCATAAAATAAACACACACTGGTTTTGAGCCATTATATAGCATTAAAGTCTCTTAGATCTAATCAATAGAATGTTCCATTAAATACAACAGAGCAAATTATGCTCCACTTCTTGTGTTCTGTTCTTTCAAAGGATGAAAACATTATTTTCCAGCAGCATATCTGTGACCATCCAGCTGCTGCTGTAGTAGCATAGGTACCTCTATGTGGCTGAGGAGGAGGAGGATGAGGTTGGAGCAGTTGTGTAGTAACACTGGTGGGTGTTTTCCTGCTTTCCCTTCCCATTCTCTCAGCCCTTCACTGGATTGGAGTCTGTGTCCCTGCCCTGTGTGGCTCTGGAGGGCTGAGTGACTGGTGGGTGCTGTCATGGCCAAGGGGATGAAGAGGTGAAGTAGAGTGAAGTATGGAATTATGAGGCAGGGAAGGATGAGATTCTCTCTGCTGTATTTTTTTGGCTTACAGTGGTTCTAGGTGAGTGTTGATAGACAATTTTGACAATGTGGGACTGACCTCCTGGCACCAAACCTCATTTTGAGCTCATGGCTTCTGAACCTTGGACGCTAACACCACAAACTTCCACCATGTTGGGTCCCACACATCTCATTGGAGCTGTTGCCTTGTCTGTATGAATACCACCAACCTCTGTTTCTTTCCAGAAATGTGTGTACTGTCGGAAGAGGATGAAGAAGGTGTCTGGTGCCTGCATCCAGTGCTCCTATGAGCATTGCTCCACCTCCTTCCACGTGACGTGCGCGCACGCGGCCGGAGTGCCCATGGAGCCGGACGACTGGCCCTACGTCGTGTCCATCACCTGCTTCAAACACAAAGCAGCAAACCACAATGTAAGGCTTTGGCTTGGCTTTGGCTTGGGTCTTTCGTTGGGTTTTGGGGGTGTTTTTAGGTCAGTTTCGCTGTGCCTGTGTTGGCTCAAGGGTTAGTACACTTGTCTGGGTAATGCAGAAGGGTTATCCGTGAAGCTGTTACTGGGAATGGCTTGAAACTGTCAGAGAGGAGATTTAGATTGGATATTGGGAGGAAATTGTTGGTTGTGGTGGGGGTGATGAGGCACTGGAATGGATTTCCCAAAGCAGCTGTGGCTGCTCCATCCCTGGGAGTGTTCCGGGCCAGGTGGGAGAAGAGAAGCTCCAGGGAGATCTTAGAGCCTCTTCCAGTGCCTAAAGGGGCTCCAAGAGAGCTGCAGAGGGACTTGGGACAAGGGATGGAGGGACAGGACACAGGGAATGGCTTCCCACTGCCGGAGGGCAGGGCTGGATGGG